ATTTTTCCACACATCTCATTATTGTAATAATTGGGATTGGACTAGGATGGTGATTTCACTCATTATTAGTCAACATCCCTGTTCTTTGTTATCATGCAAAAATGAGCAGTGTACTATCCATTATTCTCCAATTAATATGCATAGTCATGATATTTGTCTGAAAAATTTGGGACAATACTGTTACACTGGAGACAAGTATTTGCAAATTGTGTTAGTGACAAAAAAAATGAATATATTTTGTAGCATTGAAAATGTCATTTGGGGTCTAAAGTGATGATTCACATTGACTCGCAAAATGTTGTTTTCATGACTCAAATTAATAGCAGGAAATGACTGGATGGAAAAGACTGTTTCTGAATGAGGATTTTAAAATCCATGGTATGGAACACTCTTCGTATTACTTTAATAAATGGTTTGAGAAAATTAATTATTCTAAATCTACTCGTGGGATTTGTAGAAAATCTATGGATATATATGCTGCACAACCAAAAGAGAGCCATTCACCTCAGTTTCCATGGTAACAGTATGATGTCATTTGTATGCATTAGTGGGAGTAAGCCATCACATATACACTAATATTATTATACAGGTAACCCAATAATTGTCATAAAAAATATATTTTTTAGACAAGAATTTTTAGATACCCAGTAACTGATGACGATTAGGCCAGACTTTTTTTATTCCTTGTTTCTCGAGTTTTTATAAGGCAATTTTTTTGAGGAGGGCGAAAAAATAAAATAAAATTAATTCTTTTTTTTCATTAGATTTGTGTGATTCTCAAAGAATTGTAAGTGAGATCATTGATCGGAGAGAAGAAATGAAATGAAATTTTATTCCATGTATAACCTTGTTTCACATCTGCGCGAGACTTCGGTACTTTGATCATGATAACTCCCACGAAAATGCAACTTGGATTTGTTATGTGGCGGGCGGTAAAAAAATTAAGATAAAAATAATATTTTTTTAGCAATTTTTTGCACTTACAAGTTGGCGGGCGCGAGAAATTACGCTGAAATAACATTTTATTTTTATTTCATTTTCGGCTCTTGTTCATTCGGCGGGTTCGCGAAACAATGGGATAATAAAAGTCTGGCCTTACGTAATTATGTATTAATTCATTGCAAATTATCACTATCAATGTGTTTATGTAAATCTCTAGAGAATTTAGTTAATGAAAAAAACACTAATTTTAGATGTAATATTCCCATGTGACGACTAATCCTATAATAATATTATTATAAGTTATTAAGAGGCATTCACCCTATTAATTAACATAAAACATATATATTTTTTGTACCAAATTTGTTGAAAAATTATTACTTTAGATAAAAAGTCAGTTAGTTTTATTCAGTACAAAATATATTTGGAAAGAAAAACTGAAAAAATGCAAGTATAGACAATTATAAAACTATTGGAATTTGAATGTTAAAGCATTATTTCATAAAACAGTTAAATAACAATACGAGTAATCATCAAAATTTCCTCATAATTCTCGACATTCATTTTATTAGTAGATCAATATTTCACAGAGCGTAACTCTACAATTTTTAGAGATAAAATGTAAAAACAAATGGTAATACTCAAAAATTATTATTTTAGCATTTTGTGTGAAAAGCAGTTTGGTGACTTTACTTGGGAGAGTTGTATAATAACATGCATGTCACATGAGCATACATACCGGTAATTATTTCGCAATAGGTAATTTTCCGTTCACCCCCGAGATATTGCATGAAAGGCGCAGAACGAGCTTCTGTCACAAAGATCGAAAAATTTGATTTTGGATTTATGTTTCTTTTTTATAGCTCAATGTCGTAATGGCAATACTTGAGAGAGAGATATTGTGTCGAGATACCACTACTTCGTACAAGTTAATCAAATGTGTATAGCACAATATTAAGCATGGAAATACCCAAAAATATTTTCGCATTTGACGAACACCACACGATCTTTGGAAGCCACTTCAACGCTATGACCTTTGTTTATCCTGTTTTTTTCTTTTGATTTCACACACGCAAGATCTCACAGACAACTGATCAAATAATTATCAAGATATATATTAATATTTGCAATGTAAAATCAAACAATATGTTGTAATATTAGATATTAAATAAAGAAGCTTATGAATTCTCAGGGGCGGAGCTATGTCACAGAACATTCTATGTTGCTAAGATGTGCACCACTGTACCATGTATTTCTATGGGCTCTGAGGTTCAACAAG